GAATATTTTTCTTGTTTATATTCAGAGGATTCCTAAAGTAATTGAAAGATTTCCATCGAAACAGTAATTAAAACATAACTTGTAATATATACAAGACATTACTGGTAATACATACATGACATTACTGGTAATACATACAAGACATTACTGGTATTATACATACATGACATTACTGGTAATACATACAAGACATTACTAGTAATACATACATGACACTACTGGTAATACATAATGTACATGTATCAGGTGAAACATGCGTATCCTAATCAGATTGAAATGTAGCTAATTTATTGTTACTGTTAAATGAGAAACGATAACAATCCTGATTTTTACTTGGTATTTCAAGTCCTGATAAAATATTGAATATGGAAGTTTGGGGAAGAAAAGGTTGACAAAGAAACCTTTTTCAAATCCTAAAAAAAACCCGAACTAAAACATTAGACTTGAGGTAAACCTCCCATTCTTATAAAAAGCGCGGAGGGGGGTGTCCATCTTTCCATAGATCCTCCAGTACGTTTGTAACACTTTGAGGTACCCATCGCTTATCCCCAACTGCTCCTATATCACTGAATAAAATTTGATCAGACGTCACAGAATCTTAATTACAATGTGCCATTGTGCACCCTCTTTCATTTAACGATTGGACTTCCCATAGCATTCCAAATGTTGGCACTGCCATTTTTATATGATTGATACTTTATACATTTTATGCTTGAAAAGCATGGGGGGTATATAGTGATGGGGATGTCCGTCCATCTGTCTGTCCTACCGTCCGTCCGTCCCTTAAGCTCGGGGTATCCATCTTTTATCCGCACTTCCTTTTATACCACTGAAAGACATTTGTTTAGACTTTCACAGAATCTTTGTTACATTGTGCCATTGTGACCTCCTATTTTACTTTTTGATCAGACACATATTTCGGATTTCTCATAGCAAAACATAGACACTACCATTCTTTCCGTAACATTGAGGGGTATCCATCTCTTATTCCCAACTCTCCTATACCACTGAAAAAAATTTAATGACACTTTCACAGATTTTTTAGCTCACCTGAGCTGAAAGCTCAAGTGAGCTTTTCTGATCACCTGTTGTCCGGCGTCCGTCCGTCTGTCTGTCTGTCCATCCGTCTGTAAACTTTTCACATTTTCAACTTCTTCTCAAGAACCACTGAGCCAATTTTAACCAAAGTTGGTACAGAGCATCCTTGGGTGAAGGGGAGTTTAAATTTTTAAATGAAGGGCCAACCCCCCTTACAAGGGGAGATAATCAAGAAAAGACAAAAATTGGGTGGGGTCATTAAAAAATCTTCTTCTCAAGAACCACAGGGCCAGAAAAACTGAAACTTATGTGGAAGCATCCTTGGGTAGTGTAGATTCTAAATTGTTCAAATCATGGCCCCGGGGGTAGGGCGGGGCCACAATAGGGAATCAAAGTTTTACATTGAAATATATAGGCAAAATCTTTGAAAATCTTCTTCTCAAGAACCACTGGGTCAGAAAAGCTGCATGAAACTTATGTGGAAGCATCCTTTGGTAGTGTAGATTCTAAATTGTTCAAATCATAGCCCCCGGGGGTAGGACGGGGCCACAATAGGGAATCAAATTTTACATTGAAATAATTATATAGGCAAAATCTTTGAAAATCTTCTTCTCAAGAACCACTGGGCCAGAAAAGCTGAAACTTATGTGGAAGCATTCTTGGGTAGTGTAGATTCTAAATTGTTCAAATCATAGTCCCCGGGGGTAGGGCGGGGCCACAATAGGGAATCAAAGTTTTACATTGAAATATGTAGGCAAAATCTTTGAAAATCTTTTTCTCAAGAACCACTGGGCCAGAAAAGCTGAAACTTACGTGGAAGCATCCTTTGGTAGTGTAGATTCTGAATTCTTCAATTCATGGCCCCTGGGGGTAGGGCGGGCCGCAATAAATGTTACAAAGGGGTGGTCTTGTGAAGAACAGCAGGGCCAAAGTAACTCAGGTGAACGTTGTGGCCCATGGGCCTCTTGTTATTACATAGTGCCATTGTGCACCTCCTATTTTACTTTTTGACCTAACACTTATTTCGGGTCTCCTAATGCAAAACATGGACTTTGCCATTATAATCATATGGGAGGTGTGGGGTATCATTGTGAGCTCAGTGCTCACAGTACCTCTAGTTTTTTTTTAAATATGGCGGGGGTTGGCCATCTCTTACATGTATCTGCAACTCCTCCTATCTCACTGAATTAAACTTACTACATAATGCCAATGTGCACTTCTTATTTTTGATTTGATCTGACTGATATTCCGGGTTTTCCACAGCAAAACATAGAAAATGCCGTTCTTTCTACAGCCTAATAACTGACTTCACATAAGCATCAAACGACGGCACAACATAGACAATTGTTGCGGAACGGTTTGCTTAAGAAAATGAACTTTGTTAGAAAAACAATCTTCGACAGGATAAATTCGTTATGAAGACGCTGAGAGGGGTAATACGGAGATATATGGGGTCCTTGAAAAAATACATACTGGGCTTCGCTTACGCCTCGCCCAATATGCATTTTTTCAAGGACCCCATATATTTCTGTATTACCCCTCTATTTGTCTACATAACTAATAGTAGCTCCTCTTTTGACAAGGCATGCACTTTGCGTTTCGAATCATTTGAAGACATAAACACCACGTGCAAGGGATAGCAGGTAATTACTACATAAATAAGGGAATCCGATAATGGAAAAGCCGAGGTCTTCCCATTTGACATACAATACGGTTATTATCGTCTATAGTGAGTTAAACTTCAATATATATATATATATATATATATATATATATATATATATATATATATATATATATATATATATATATATATATATATATATATATATATATATATATATATATATGCGGTATATATATATATATTTTCAGAGGAATTGAATCGGACTCAGAAATCAATCATAATTTTTTTTTTTTTGGGCTAATATTCAATAAAAGATATTTACGAATACATTAATTATTACAAAAAGGAGAAGACATGCATTGAGGCAAGAGGCATGTTCACACACGATGAAGGGGGGGGGGGCTCATATCCAAGAGTTTTAAGTTGATGGGGGATTAAATCAGGGCTCAATGATGTTCTAGCAAGGAGTATTCTCTTAAGAAATTTAAAATAATTTAATTATTGATACTGAAATATGTTTTCAGGATGATGTGAAACTACCTGTATAAAGACAGTTCACTGGACCATCTTTTAAATAAGGTTTGTTTGCCCTCTCCTGACTTGGGGTAAATAAAATGGGTCGGTAGGTAGGTTGTAATTTTTTTCCCATAAATTTCAGCACACTTGTTCACAGGAGGAAAAAATCAGGAATAAGTGGAAAAAAATACCGCTTCCTGGAAGGTTAAAAAAGTTTTGAGTCAGAACATTTTAGTTAGTCGGTCGGAGAGGGCAAACGAACATATTTTTGAGGTTGCCTTGGTATCAAAAACATAATATCGGCATATTGGTACTTCGATATTTTAAAACCTCATATTTAAAAGTTTTTTATGGACCCTGGAGTTAACGACAATTGATTGTACGTGTAAAACTAACTTAAAACTTAGAGTTCCAGTTCGTACAAATGATGAATATAAATAGTTTTTGTTGGAAATTAGGAAAAAATAAATCCAAAACCTCCTAAACCTAAGAATGAAAAGGAGGAGGAGAACTAACTTCCGGGAGAGGCGACTTTCCATTATTCTGAAAACATCCGTAAAATCAAAGAGAACATGCAAGTGTTAAAATACTTTTCCAAAAATTTCTCTTATCCTCGATCTTGATATTGCATGGAGCTACTGGGGACATCAATGCAGACCTGAGTCACTTCTGTATCACACGCTTCTGCAGTGTATGTATGATTGCTATTCATCATATGAGTCCATGTAAAACAGTACTTAGTCTAGTAAGATTATACACATATTGCTCTTATTTACTAAAACATTCATTTATTCGTTTTATTATCCTAACAATGAATAAAAATCTAACCAGAGCATTTTTATAATTTTTGGAAATTGCAATCGATACTATAGTTGAGTCGTTCTTTTTAAAAAAGAAAACATTTCATCCCAAAACTTCGTTTCATAGTGAATAAGAAGAAACCTTTACTGGCAGACTTGAATAAACCGTTTTGCTGATTTCCTTGGGCAATGTTTGAGCTGCAATAAATATAACCGTTTTATATCTCATGATATGTATTGAAAAAAATTAAATGCAGGGGTGCGTATCATTACCGCTACATTTTCAAAATTTTCAAACGCTACATGCACATTACCGCTACATTTAAAAGTATACATTACCGCTACATTGCCTCTTTCGTTAGCCAGGGTCTTATGCGTGTACAGTACAACATATATATACATGCATAAGACATGTTGCCCTTGCTCACCACGAGGAGGTAAGACTGAGCAGGATGGGTTTTTTTTTTAATTTGTCACAAACTTTTCAATAGTAACCATGACATTCTGATGACGATAAATCGACTATAGACTTATATATACTCATTTCGATTAGAATTCAGATCCAAATTGTACTTCACTACATGGCGAGTGAATTATATTGAATGGAACTCATATCCCGTGTCATTGCTGGCCGATTCGGTACATGTATGTAGCGGTAATAAGTTGTTGTCGGCATTAGTCCCTTTGATAAAATGTAGCGGTAATGATCGCCCGAAAATTTGTGAAAATGTAGGGTAATGAGTTGAAATTTTTCGCAATGTAGCGGTAATGTTCACCTCCCAAATGCACACTGTTTACTACTTAATAATTAATACCAAAGGATGACTAATTAGCATGCTTAATTGCATGCTAGTTTAGTGTGTAAACAATTAAATCTGGTAGTTACTACAGCATTATACACACAATATATATGGCAAGTTTATTCAAATAAAATTTACACGTAAGTATTTTTTTCGGTTCTGAGTTCATACACTGTATGCATATGTGGATTTTAGCATTATGAAGATAACTCTTGCATATAAGGGTAATCAAAGCTGATTTATCTTGAAGATTTGGCAAAGTTAAACAAGGGTCGTTCAATAAATAATGTAACATACAGTTTGTCATAATAAATATAGAAGTAATCAATTTAACTATTTTTTTTCACAGTTGAAAAGTTCTACTCAGGTTATCTTTAAAAGTTTGTTTGGTTGTCTTCTCCAAACCGACTGGCTAAAAATGTTCCGACTCAAACCTTTTTTCAGCCTCAAGGAAATATTTTTTTATGCATTCCGGAAAATAAATTTTCCCGCCTACCTACAGACCCAAATTTTTCATATTGAGTCGGGGGAGGGCAAACAAACATTATTTCAAAGTTGACCTAAAGAATTAACTTTTAAAGTAAGAATGGCCACTACACTGAACTGAAAAACTTGATCTATGCCGAGAAAATGAAAATGAGTGCGTATGAATAAATATGTAAATCGCCAAAGAATTCATTTTAAGGATATGACTTTAATATGTGGAAAAACTTGTCTTTGACGCTTTAAAGTTTTCAAAAAGATTCAGACATTTAGAAGTAAAAAGAAATATAGCAGTCAAACTGGTCGATCGAAATCTGTAGGGACACAAAATTTATATCAATGCTGTGAGTAACACGATAATTGAAAACGTCAGATTTAGATTGATAGACATTGCTAAGACACTAAATATTTCATCATCACAACAGTTAATATAGAGTTCTCATAAAGGAAATGAATATACAAAAATATAATTTTTCTATCAAATGCATGTAGTTGCCAATGGTCTTTTCAAAAAAGAAATATCGTTACAAAAAAGAGGATTTGATAGACTTGCATGATAAATTACGAAATAGTGGTGCACTTTTTATAGACGAAAAGGAAGATAAGTAATAAAATGTGGAATCAGAGAAAGATGTCGTCCTATAATTGTAAAGAAAAGCAAGGGTTCCAAACATGATTTATTAGTTTTAAGTACATATTAGTACGCAAGTTAAGCAGATTTTCTGCAAAGGGTCCAAACGCCAGTCCCCTTGGTAATTTTACAGTACCTGATAACGCTGCTGTAAATAAGCATAGCGAATTATATGAAATTTTGAAGAAAAAATTTTACAGAACTTTGTCATCCCCCCTATTCGCTAGACCTCATCCATTGTAAGATCTTTTAATCCAAAAACGCATGAAAACAATCAAAGGATGACTGTACAATTTCAGATATGTTATGGGATGTGTTTTCCATCGTGTCTTTTGGGATCCCTAAGATGAGTACGCTGAGGTTTTCTTGTCATGGGTATAAATACCTAAGACATATGTAAAGAGTAACAGGGAATACTTTAAGGGTTTGAAACTATTAAAAGGCTATTTTACTTATGTTTTAGATGACCTTTAGCAAAATTTATTGAACGATCCTTGTATAATGTACAGTATATGTATAAATTCTAAGTGATAATATGCAATATATACATGTACTTTACCAGTTTGCCTATGAAAATTGATACCAAAAAAATTTGTGTGTCATAACGTCGATATATATTGATACACATTGTGAACCACTTCTTATACGAGTATCCTCATGTCTTTTCGAACAAAAATTTGAACGTCCAAGACGTTTTTGAAAACCTTACTGCGGATATAGAATTTCGATTCATCCAACTGTAAAACATTTGTGAATCATTGCAAACCAAACAAAAAGTTCAATATTAAGTAATTATAATTATATGTAATTCTGATAATTATTCGCCATCTAGAAGAGTCGGTTCCCTCTTCAATTCCCAGTATCTCGTTAACTCAATGGTATCGATGGTATGCCGATCAGTGATTGAATGCAAAGGGCATATCATTTCGCGATCTTCTTTCGGAATCCTTGTTTCTGGTAAAAAATGTTTCTCAATATTCATTGCAATTGTTTCTACCTCGTCTCTTCGACATCTAAAGCCTCTAACAAACTGTATTTTTCTGTAAAATGATCCTGAAAGATTTTCCATCATTTCCTCTATTCTTTTTTGAATTGTGCATGTTTGTACTCCTTCCAAAACATTTCCCGCCAACGGATGAAGCACCTGAAGTTGTATAGAATCTTTATTGACGGATAAAACGATATTGCATTCCATATAAGAAAACAAAGCAGCGTTTCTGTAGAGGCAAGATGTGCCATCATTTTCGAGTACTTTCCAACCAACTTCTTGCATACAAGCAACAACAAGCCGGTAAAACAAGAAAAATGGCAGAAATTCAAATTGATAAACAAGGACAGATGATTTGCTTCCTGATTTTTTGATGAGATCTTGAAGTCCTTTTTCTACCTCTTTACGATTCATGCACGGAACATAGTGGGATTCCGTACCAACAGCCATCAATCCAAGTCTTTGCATAAAATTAAGAAGTGATTCCTTATGATATTGTAGAAATCTTTTATCTTCCTCATATGATCTGCGTTTAATATAGAAGTACTCCTTTTTCTCTAGCATTTCATACAACTCTTTGTCTTTATGTTTCCAGATTTCTTTCAGAAGTTTGTCTAGCAAATTTCCAGTTTTGTAATATTCATCCCAGTTCCCTTGAGATACAGGCAAACCTTTGATATGTAGTTCGTCTGTGATGATATGTTTGAAGGCGTCAATAAACCATTGCACGTCAATAATAACCTTTTCGTCCAGACCATTTTCATGAAAATATAGAGCTTTCCCGGCATCATGATAATATCGTAGCATATCTTGTTTTTCATTTCCTTTATGAAATTTATTCTGTCCAATAATTGTAAACTCTGGAACTTTTGTCTTTATTTCTGAGATCTTCATGATTCGCTCTGAGAATTTTTTCTGGTTAACTTCTATTCCGAAGAAAGACCATTCTTTTGGAATGCTTTCTCTCCATCGTTGATTGGAAGCTATGTTGAAGAAGCATGTTTCCAAATCAAGGAGAGGTAAAGTAAACTCTGTACAATAAACATTATCATCTCTGATGTATTGTGATAGATTAGATGTCTTTGGAAACTGACCCAGCAAGTTCTCAATCAAATCTCTTTTATCCTGCATTAATAAAACATATTCATCCTATTTTTAATAAAGTGGTTATAATATACTGACTGTTTCACTATAATATACTGACTGTTTCCTCTTTCTATTAAAAGACATCATTTAAGATTATCATTTTTCCTTTTACATGTATTTATATTGCTTATAAATCAACATTCCCCACTACTCATAAAAGCTTCTGAAGCCATACAATTTTAAAGCCTTCCAAAGAAAACAATATACAAATTGGAGCGGAATCTTAATCAATGACAATAGGCCCAGGGGCCACATCGCTCACATGAGCACTTTGGTTAGGAAAAAGCAGAAATCATTTCAGTATTGAAAACTTTAAATATAAAAGTGGTTTGGAGGATGTATGATTTGAACAAACTTTAATCTACACTACCTGAGGATGCTTCCATATAAATAAGACTAATCATGGCTTTGCTGTTCTTGAGAAGAAGATTTTTTGAGATTTTCCTATGCATTTCTGTGTAAAACTTTGATCACCCACTGCGGCCACACCCTACCCCCGGGGGTTATGATTTAAACAAACTTTAATCTACACAACCTGAAGATGCTTCCATATAAATATAACCAATCATGGCTTTGCTGTTCTTGAAAAGAAGATAATTAAACTTGAATCCCCTTTACCAAAGGATAGTTTTTGTCAAGTTTGGTTGACATTGCCCCCATGGTTCTTGAGAAGAAGATGAACATGGGAAAAGTTTACAACGAAGACAACAACAAACAACGAACATATTTCGAGTAGAAAAGCTCACTTGAGCCTTCGGCTTAGGTGAGCTTAAATTATTGTATAATTGACTCTCAAATACTTGCTATAATCATATGCAAATAATTCAAAGATATATATATATATATATATATATATATATATATATATATATATATATATATATATATATATATATATATATATATATATATACTTGTTTATAAAACCGATTTAATCAGTGCCATAGTAATAAAGCATTTTATTCATTAAAATTTTTTACAGATCACTCTATTACTAGTATATAGCTATATGTAAAAGAGTTAAGTTCGCTAAAAATAAAAAATAAAAACTTATGAGGACGTCTTGTAAATGACAATTTCATTAGATAAAAATACTCACCCTGAACTGTCTATTTCGTTCTTCCCAATGTGTTGCAACGATTACTATTACGGGTTTTGTATCTTTTTCGTTGTCAGAACCACAGTAGGTATGTATAGACTTTATCCAGAACACAAAGTAGTCTGCAGTAAAAACATGAAGATACCCCTTTTTAAAGTATATCAAGAAGTAATAATTAAAATGGAAAATTACGTACAGCCCCTTTTTAATACGGAAAGAAATCTATCCATAAATATAGTTGACTTGGGTTATCAACGATCGGATTTTTGAACACATACTGTGTACTTTGAAATATGAATATTGTTTACTTCTACGAAGATAAAAAGATCACAACTCATGACATCCATGTATATATTGTATTTAAGATCATGTACCATACATACTGTACCTGAGCTATCAAACCAGAAAGAGAAAGAGAGAATAAGTTTCATCAAATATGCATGCTACCTTTCATCTGTAATTCTGTTTTTTAGTTAAACTAATCAAATATTGACATTACATGCCATATTGTCCTGGCGGCAATTTATAATGACACACGTATGTTCTATCAAGTACATGTATCTTCATTAGAATGCCAACAAAATCAATAATAAACAGTATGTATTTGTGAAAAACTTATCACCCGTATGGCAACTCGTTGTCAAATTTAAAATTTCTTTAATGCAAGTCAAACCCCAAGGTCAAGAGATCGCAAATGTTGTACCCTAGGAAAGGTCTTAATAAAAGGAATAGACATATGGCAATGAAAGCCCTTGCTGCAATCATTCAGAAATTACGGTAGTAGTTAAATACTTTCAAAAATAAGTCAAATGCAGAGGTAAAAAATACTGTGCTTACATGTAAGAAAAGGCCTTTAAAGATTAACCTAAGGAAAATACACTTAACGTAGGTCGCGGGTTTGCTGACGTCATTAAAACTGGGTACGCAATTTATATGGTTTGGGCGTCTTTCTTGTGCACATTTGATTATGACGTCATAATGAAAAAGAAATTTCAGTACATCATTATCTAGCTATAACTTTTGTTGGAATTGGTATTTTATTATTATATTATTTAAAGCACAACTTATCACAAATAATGAAGGCTTTTTACGATTTGAATATAAAGTCGAAACAATATTTAGATATAACTTTTGTTGGAAATGGTAGTTCAGTGTAATATTATTTATAGAGCAAACTGAATTTATCAAATATAATGAAGGCTTATTACGTTTCGAATCCAACACAGGAAGTATTAGAAAGCGTTTCATTATGTGTTATCAATATCGCTTGGAATTTTCGGCTTGTCGGAAAGGTCCGCGAAATTGCGATTGATTAGATATCACATGGTATCGCGAAACGATGTGGGCACAAGTTTCAACTGACCTCTTTTCCTTTGAACGTATTTAAATTAACAGTTTGTTTAATTAATGAAGAAATCATTATATAAACAATCGTAAATACACCTATTACATTAAAAATTTAACCTTTATTTTAAAAAAAAAATATTTAAAGGTTTATCACAAATTAAAAACTGCTAAGGTACTATGAATCATAAACTAATACATTTTTTTAGCGACACTGACCTCCTGTAAGTAAACAAAGGCACTTGGGATATGGATTCCCCCTTTCCATTATTTCTCTTTAAATCTAGGGTCGAGTCACCTTTTCCTATTTTTGTATTCTAATACCGATAATTTACCCTTAAGCCGTAAAGATACCCTTAGATGAGGGTGATTTAATCTAAATATTTACTAATCGGGGGCACATGATAATTAAATGGAAATATGAAACGGAAGAAGGATATGTAAAAAAAAATATATTGATGTCTGCATAGTTTATGTTTTCTTATACTTTAGATAAATAATCATGCAAAGTTTAAGAAGTGAGTTAAACGACGAGAAAATCTCTCTTTTTATGTATCAGTCGAAACGATATATTTAAAAACAGCTTATGGAGACAAAAGGGTTACACTATCGATAGCATATACTACATGTTAGGATACAAAAATAGGAAAAAGGTGACTCGACCCAAGATTTAAAAAGAATAAAAAGGGGGGGGGGCATTTTTATGTATCAGTCGAAAACGATATATTTAAAAACAGCTTGAAGAGACAAAAGGGTTTCATTATTGATAACATATAGTACATATTAGAATTCAAACATAAGAAAAAGGTGACTCGACCCCAGATTTAAAAAGAAAAAAATGGAAGGGGGGCATTTTTATGTATCAGTCGAAAACGATATATTTAAAATCAGTTTATAGAGACAAAAGGGTTACATTATTGATAACATATACATGTAGTACATATTAGAATTCGAAGATAGGAAAAGGCTGACTCGACCCCAGATATTAAAAGAAAAAAAAATGGAAAGGGGGGGGGGGGGGCGGCGGCGGTCAATACCCCCAAGCGCCTGTGTAAGTAACGGCTTACAATGCTGTTATCTACAGATTTTATTCGCTACTTTGCTTTCCATGTCCAACCAGTCGAATTAATTTTATATACATTGAAGTTATATATATTTTAGTTATGTCTGTATGTAAAAATAAATAAAAACATTTTTTTCAAATATATACTAAAAATACAATGTATTTACCCGGGACGATATTTGGCGGAAACTCATTCATTAAGAAGTTATCGTAGCCATGAGTGCATTGCTGAATGTCTTAAATAAAAATATTTCTCATATATACTTGAGTAAGAGGATAAACCGTTTTCCGCCAGCGCGCTGAAAAAATACACAGCCAAATGTAGGATCCTTATCTACGAAAAAAAAACAAAAAACAAAACAAAACAAAAAGAAAAGAAACGGTAAGAAAACAAAACATAACGAAAATACTGTGAAAGAAAGAAACTAAAGGACTGATTGTCGATAACTGATTGAGATAATTTTCACTAATATGAGACATACAAAGAATATTAGAAGAGAAACATATCTAATAATCATTTCATTGTTATTGAATTATTATGATACGATTCGTGGGTCATATGAAAGCAGATAGACGTAAATTAAAAATATTTTAATTTGTTTTTCTGCTCTGTATACCGGGTCGATATTCACGACGTCAAGCGTGACGTCGCGATATTTAATGACGTAGTTCTTAAAAATGTTACATTTTGCGATATAAAAGTAATTATCTACATTTAAATTACGAGAAAACAAACTCGAAGACATATTAATTTTTTCACATAGATTTATTTCAAATCAATTCTATTTTAAGATACCAAAGGGGGAACAATTTCGTCTGCAATATTTAAAAGTTTATGATATTTTTTGAAAAAAAACCTTTCCTGAAAACGAGCCGAAATCGACGTTTTTCCTATATAATTCAATACAATAACGTGAAAATATTACTACAACAATGGCACCTTTGGAATTTAATTACATAAAAACTATGCAGACGAATTTTATAAAATTTTCAGAGAATGTAAAACAAAGGCAGAGGAATCATATAACTAATTTTCATGGTATGTTTTCGGACACTTTTAAAAGGCCTGCAAACCCGCGACCTACGTTAAAATATTAAAGCCCAAGCACCTAGCGACCAAAATTATGGTCAAGTTTTTCAAAAATACGTCAAACTCTGAGGACAAGAAAAAAAGTTCAAATGTTTTGGTACATAAGGGCAAGTCTTGACACATGTAATATACATGCTAAGTAGGAAGCCCTAACTCCAATCCCTCAAAATTTTCGTCCAAGGTTGGGTTATTTTTTTTTCTTCAAAAAAGTACATCAAACTACAAGGTCAAGACGAAATACGAAAAACAAGATGAGTTTGTGAAACACTGTTGCCCCCCTATGGAAGCATATGGCGAAGATTAAAGTTTCTCAAATTCAAGTCAAACACCAGGTCAAGAGATCAAAAATGTTGGTACCCAAAGAAAGGCTTGTCTCAGGGAATATACCTGTGAAATTTGAAAGCCCTAGCTGCAACTGTTCAAAAGTTATGGCCAAGGTTAAAGTTTTTCAAAGCAAGTAAAACGTCATGGCTAAAGTTGTTGGTATCCAAAGGAAGGTCTTATCACAAGTATTACATATGTAAAGTATGAAAGCCCTAGTACCAACCATTCAAAACTTATGGCCAAGGTTATAATTTTTCGAAAGTAGGCCAAATTCCTATGTCAAGGTCAAAGGGTCAAAGTGGTTGGTATCCAAAGGAAGGTCTTTTCACATACAGACAGACAAACAGACAGACAAAAACAATATACCCCCGGGATCTCTCGATCAGGGGGCATAAAAATTATAACCAACAGAAGGTTTTATCCAAGAATACACCTGAAGTGTGAAAGCCCTAGCACCTACTGTTTCAAAGTAATGGCCAAGGTTAAAGTTTGGTAATTTTTTTTGCAAAAGTGGGCTAAACCCCAAGATCAAGAGATCAAATATGTTAATATCCAAAGATAGGTCCTGTCACAGGAATAACGTGTGGATACATAAGCCCTAGCTCCAGCCAATAAAAAGTTTTAGTTATGGTTAAAATTTTTGTGAAAAATAGACAAACAGACTAAGCAAAAATATGCCCCCCCCCCCATCTTTGATTAACTGAGCATAAAAATTAAAAAAAAACAAACAAACTGAAAGTTCAGACTCTATTTAAGGTATTCAATCTCTTATAACAACAGACTCAATGAAATTAAATACACAACAGATGTGTAGGGTTGAATGAAGGGTTGAATACTTAGTATATTTAGATATAATTCCCATTTATTACTGTATGCATGTAAGGGTGGGATGTGTCCTAATTTATGATTATCAGGTAAAAACAATCGTTTTGAATTGTCATTCTATTTCTAATGCTTTAATGCATCTTTCCACCACAGTATTTAATGACATTCTTATTATCTGAATTTTTATCGTTTAAAAAAAATCACAGGCGTCAATAAGTGTTAATTAATTACTGCCTAGTTGATTACATTACTGAAACTTTCCCTTGGTAAATCCTTTTCTACTGTAAAATACGTTTAATTAATATCAGAGTATTATCTACGTGATGGACATTTAAGGATAGAAAATTTGATGGAATGGAAAACCTTTATATCAAAATTGTTTCATATAAAAACATTTTTTTTTAATTCCTAATTATGAATTGTTGTCTTTCAAAATTACTGTTCCATTGAATAGGACACATATTCTGACTTATCTA